GGTCAGGTCATAAGTGTTTTTAATTAATCCTTCTGGGTAACGATCATCGGTATTTTGATTTATTTGCAATATCCATTCCAATAATTTTAGACTTCAAATTTCGAAAATTTTAAAATAGACAGCATGAATTTATTACTATCTTCTAAGGAGTATTCAGATGTTGTGTACAGTGTTAGCTGCGCGTTTATTAATTCGAATAATCTACAACAGTAAACAGTAAATTTTTTGTGATTATTGCTTTATTCTATAAAAAAATTTGCATATCAAAATAAAGTCTGATCTCTAGCATACCATTCATCGTTTCATTGGCATACAGTAACAAGCAAACAATAAAAAGAGTAATTTCACATTAGGCTGAAATATTTGATACCATAAAAATATAATTGCAAAGGATGCTTGGATTGTATGTTTCAAATCACAAAAGATTGAGCAAAGAAAATGATCTTGCATAAATGAGTAAAAATTAAATTAATAAAAACTTAGTTTTTATCACAGCAGCTATGGGAGTATTTGAAATTACTGTCATTTTTTTTCATAAATTTGAGCTCCATTTTAGTATTTTAGTACAGTAAGCACGGATTTGTAGGAACTAGTACTTATTTATGATTTACATAATTACTCTTAGCTAACTGATTTTAAGCGACTTTATGCAAAATTTAAAATGAACGCATAAATGCTAATTTTTCTTTACACTATGAGTGAAGTAGTCATTAACAATACGTATTGCTATTTTCATGCTGTCGTACTTTGCTTGCTTTAATTTGTAGAATCACAGAATTTGATTACAAAACTTCTTTGCTGTCTAATCGATCAAGATTCTTCTCCATCGTTTCAGATATTCCTTCAAAGGTACCTTTCAAATCAAAACTCACTCGAAGCTTCTCCACGTGCTTTACTGCTGAACCTAACGCTCTACAGCCATAAATGGATGTTATTATAGCCACAATTGCCTAAAATTGCTTTCTATTAATTTTTTTACGACGCATATTTTGCTTTAAAGTCTATTTTTATGCTTTTTTATTTATAAAACTTGTTTAAAATTGTAAAAAACTTTCATGTTTCACCACATTCTTTTGAACTGAACAAGTTATCTGAACGATCTGTACAGCAATCTTTTAATTTTTCAGGATTTAAGTCTATGTTTATTAAAAAGTTAGCACGGAAATTTCGTAAAAAACACGTAATAAAAAGCAAACAGATAATAATAGCTCAAAAAAGATAATTTTTTGGGATGCCTTTTTGGACATATTGAATTCCAGATTAAATAAGCCTAGGACGTAAGCTTTTTTTAGTGTTCGCAATCACTTTTCTAGTTTAAAGGTGTATAATGCAACAAATTGCGATTTA